TTTGTGAAAGTTCTAGATGCATATGCCACCGGCAATTGTTTTCCCTCATATTCTTGTGTTAGTACAGCACCACATGCGTGTTTGCTTGCGTCAGTAGTTATACAAAATTGTTTGCTGAAATCTGGGTACTGTAACAATGTAGGATTTATCAATGCCTTTTTAAGGTGCTCGAAAGCATTATTACATTCTAGTGTCCACTGAAAAGGTACTCCTTTCTTTGACAATCTAGTGAGATGTCTTGAGTATTCAGAGAAATTTTTTATAAACCTCCTGTAGTAGTTACAGAATGCTACAAATCTTTTCGCACTATCTGCATCTGTAGGTATAGGGTAATTTTTAATTACTGAAAATTTTTTGTCGTCGGGGAGCATGCTTTTGTCAGTGCACTTATGTCCTAAATAAGTCACCTCGCGCATAAAAAATGAACATTTTTCAGGATGTAATTTTAAGTTGTGCTTGCGACATAGTTCAAAAACATCCGATAGGTTTGATAGCATGTGTTTCTCAGAGCAACCCAGGACTACCAGGTCGTCCATATAGAGAAATGCTTGTTCTGGTTTTAAACCGCTAAACGCAATTGTCATCATTCTTTGAAATGAATTAGGGGCAATTTTTAATCCGTATGGGAGTCTAGAAAACCTGTAGGATCCATTATTTGTAGAAAAGGATGTCAGGTCTCGTGAATTTGTTTCTAGTGGTATTTGATGGAATCCTGACATAAGATCCAAACAAGAAAAATATTTAGCTCGACCTAATTGGTCTAGGATGTCATTTATTCTTGGCAGTGAGAATTTATCCGCTATTAATTTTTTGTTAATCTGCCTGTAATCTATTACTAACCTCCATCTTTTTTCAATTGAATTTGGAAGTGATTTTTTCTGAACTAATAAAATAGGACTATTATATTCGGAACATGATGGCTCTATTATTCCATCTTTTAACATTTTTGAGACTTGTCTTTCAATTTCTTCTTTGTGAGTGTGTGGTATACGGTAGTTCTTAATGTATACTGGGTCTGTATCTTTTGTCCTTAACTTTTGTGTGTAAAAATTGTTTGATCTGATTGCTTCTGTTTCTAATCCAAAAATATCGCTGTACATAGAACATAATTCCGTTAACGTTTTTTCAAATAGTTTTGGAAAATTTTTCTTTAGTGTATCTAAAATTTTATTTTTTCTTTCTGTTTTGTTTTGATCACTTGAAATTATGTTATAGTCAGTGAGATTTTCTGATTGAATTCTGTTTAGTTTTACCGTTACTGGTCTGTCATTTGTGTTAAGAATTCGTATGAATGCATTTTCAGATTTTACCAAGGTACTTGCAATGAATATACCTGTTGTATTTCTTGATTAGGTATCAGTACTTCTTGAAAAGGAGTAGAAAGTTTCACCCTTCTTATAACTTCTGACATAGCTGGGAGTGTTATGTCATCGTTACAAGTAGTTATAATTGGTATTTCAATGTGCATTTGGAATTTTTCTGGTCTGAGGGTTAGGAAATCTTGATTCTCATTGAATTCAAGTAGACAATTGTATTTTTTCATAAAGTCCATTCCAATAATGCCATCACACGGTATTGGGAAATCGTTTTGTACTACATGAAACTCGTGTGGTATTAAGTAATTTTTAAACTTTAAATCGAAAAATGTTGTGCCTATTGAATTGATTTTTCCTTGTCCAATGCCTTGTAGTGTTGTAATGTGTTTTTTGTTTATGTGTTTAAGTGTATCTTGGTCATGTTTAATTATGGAAATGTTTGCTCCTGTGTCAACTAGTAGTGTTATGGCGGTGTTAGTGTGAGCAATTCTGACTTGTATGTAAATGCTAAAGTTAAGGTTAAGATTGTATATTTTGTAGTCCGAGTTTATCTTAGGGGAATGTCCGGGTTTTTCGAACTATTGTTGTCTGTTTGGGTCATTCTAATATTCCTTGTATTACCTCGGTAGCTATTTCTGTTTTGACCTCTATTATTATAGTTATTTCCACTATAATTGCTGTTTTGGCCATTGTGGTTTCTTTGAACATTGGTTCTATTTTGAAACCTTCTTCCAAAATTTCTATTGTTTTGGAATCTGTTGCCAAATGGTCTTTGTCGGTAGTGCAAAATGGTATTTTGTTGGCCTGTAGCTTCTGTACAACTTCCAACAAATTTGCTTATTACTTCATTCATGTCAGTAAACTGACCTGCTTCCATAATAAGTTTGACTTTTTCTAATGTGCAATTTTTAGTTATTGCTCTTACGGCGGCTTGTGTCGCATATTTACTTGCCAAATTTAAGTTTATGCCGTCATTTATATATGCATTTTCTAATGATTTTGTTAGTGTTTCTATTTCATTGCAGTAATTTGTAGCAGTTTTGCTACTTTGTCTTATATTCATAAGTTTTGCAGTCACTACTTCTACTGACTCACCTTTTACGGTGGTGCGTAGTTTGGTACTAATTTCCGCAATTGTATTTTCATTGTCAATTAAATTTCTCGAATTTCCTTTAAGTTTAGTCTTAATTAAGGAA